CACACACACACACACACACACACACACACACACACACACACACACACGCCTAATGGAGGCTCTGCAACTTTGTTTGGTTGAGCTGGAAGGCAGGCGGAGTAGTTTGGCGAGCAGCAACAAGCACCACACATAAACCACTGGCCGCTGTCTGTTAGTGAGTGTGTGTGTGCTACTGTGTTTGTGAGAGACTCCTGCTCACTGTTCACTCACATCTCAAAAGGTCTCACTGAAGTGTAAACTAACTGACAAACGTGTCTGTTGAGGACAAATCAAAAGCACTGCTACAGATTACACGTTGTGTAAATAATGTCCACCCAAATCCATGTTGTGTCGAGACTTGCTGCTCCTGACTCCTACATGATGAAGCAAACACGTTCACAGTGTCAAACTTCAACCACAGGGCCACAAGCTGCCATCATTCTCCAACAGAGGACATGTTGCTGCATGAACAATGTGTTGTTTTAGATCCGGGGCTCGGCAATATGGCTAAAATCTTCATTACGATATAGATGATTTCACATTTCGATAACGATGTATATATCATGATACAGCATGTTTTCTGGTAGTTTAATAAATATATAATCTACGTATATGACATAACCACATGGTTTTGTTAACTCTTAAATATTTGACAAGTACTGAGGATTTCAAGTAAAATGAATCAATAAATATCCCCATATACATTTGTTACTCACATTGAACTCACAAAACAGCAATTTAATTTATGTGCTTGATATTATCAATTGAGACGATGTCATTGTGTATCAAGATGCGATTCCATTGAAAGTGGATCAATTCTCACGTTGAATTATCACTCAGTCCTATCGAACAAACTACTCTGCCTTTTTTTGTCACATAAAGAGTGCAATGACAAAACCAAGACCAAACACAAACCAAAGCTTTGGCCGTAAATGGGCCTCGTTCCTTATTCTCCTCCTAAACCTCTCTGACTTTGTGAGGTTTGCTCATACGAGTGTTTCATGTCACATTCACCGAACTGTAAAAAACTAGATGTAAGAATCGCTTATTTCAGCCTGATGAACGCCACCTCTTTACGAGGAGGTGCGTGGGATTTCATAACCTACATCAGCATGTATAGTAAATCCACTCGTTCCGCTTCACAAGAAAAAGAGACTTAAGAGTAAAGCATATAAACATATCACGTTTAGCAGCATCAGTTCGGTGGTATTAGAGGGAATATAAATGTAGCATTTAGTTTGTTTTAGTGGTTTCTGCATCGTATTTACACTAAAAATTAATTCAAAAGAAGGCATTAAGATTTCAGGTCAAATGAGCATTTTTCTTTTTTTTTGTCCCGTAGAGAAAGTCTTACGTTCGCTCCAGGGATCGTGCGACGGGTCTGGACCACTTGTGAATTTCATTTGTGCCTGAAACAAAGTTCAAGAAATGTGTTCGATGCCACAAATTCTCTTTCACTCCTTCGTGCCACTTCGGAACAAATGTGTTCATGCAAGAACGAGCAGTTCTTGCATGAAGCCCAGACTCAATCAGCTGGTAAACAAGCAGCTCAAACTGGAAGACAAGTTTTGTTTAACTTTGTGGCTCACACTCCTAAACCTGGGAGAGCCCCAAATAACATCACCTGACAAGATTAACTTTTTATTTAGATAAAACAATTAGACATTAAAGACTGAATTATCTTTTGTTATGTAGAACCCTGCACATATACTTGCAAACGTCTCAGGAAACAATCGTGATTCAACTGTTGTTGCTGTTGTATTTGAGGAATCAAATTACCGACACTTCTGCGTAGAAAGCAGCCAGTCTGCTTCCTAAATGCTGAACCACTCCGATTGGTTGATCGATAGCAACAACGTTTTCAAACAGTCAAAGGCTGTATGTAAGGGGGACAGTACGTGCTTGCTGGCCTCATACAGGCCTGCACATGATGAAGCACAGCTGACAGTGGAAACAAAAATGCAAAAGTGGAGCCCAGAAGGAGAACAGAGTCCTCGGATGAGAGCGTCACAATCTGACCTGCTTGGCTCTCTCTCTGCTTTACGTTTCACACTCTGAGGGGTTTATACTCTGATGCATGCAAAGCACAAAAAAACTACACGGGACAGAAAAATAAAGGAAAGTATTGTAAGTAAGTTATTCTTTGCTGTGCTGAAAATAAAGGCAGCTGCAGATTCATACGTTCACTACCTGAGGTGCCAATTCAACTCGGTGCGCCCTGTGACCGGGATGTGCTCCCAGTGCTGTAGCCCGTGGATGTACAGTACAGTTGGGAGATTCCTCTCATTTTTAGATACTTTTATGATGCTTCCCATCCCCCACAAAACATAACGCTGGTCCTCGTACAGTCCTGGGATCAAACTCTTGCTCCCATCACGAGACACTATTACTCACCTGCTCCTGTGCTGTGGTTTGTGCCACTGATTCAACAGAGGAGGGTCGGGAAAGATGAGTGCTGCTGGGATACAAACAATGTCACCTGACCTCAGCGATCTTCCCGGTACAATAGATGGAGACGTATGCTCCAGAGGGATCCCTCCTCTGTTGGTCCCATTAAAGGGGTTTTTCTTTACCTTAATTATTATGTTGTGTACAGACTTTAAAGCCCCTTGAGGTGATATATTGGGTGACACAAATAGACTTGACATTCACTGAAATAAAGTGTTAAAAAAAACACAGAAGTGATGGGTTTGGCATGACATCTGAACGAGAGGCTGATGAAAGATTCTCTTCTACATCTTTTGGAATAAAGCCTGAGTTTGCTGTTGGTCTTAATGGATCGAGACATGTTAACTGATCTGGATGTGTGACCCTGCTCTTCACCGGGGCTTAACGTGAGCCTCTCACCCTTCTGCTTTGGTACAAAAGGGCAGACATGAGTTACTACTGCGGCTAAAATGTCTTCAGTCATTAGAATTAGTTAGTGAATTTTTTGAGGATGTTTCTCTTGGATTTGGGCTTTTTATTAGAAAGCTAACATTAGGCTATAAACGAACCACACCACCTGACGGTGAGTATACACAAGAAATCTTTCCAGCCTATCAGCCTACAAGACTTGATGAAGAAAATAAATTCATCATCTTGCCCTTTGGATGTTTAATCATCCTCTCTATTTCTGAAAGTTCTGCCAATTATTGGCCCTGCTGTAACATCTATTGTTAATTCCTCATCGTCTACAGGAAGTGTCCGCTCCTATTATCCAGCCTATATTAAAGAAAACTAACTTAGGTCCTGCTTTGCTCATGAAATAAAGGCTTTTATCAAAACTGCCTTTTCTATCAAAAAAAGGTTGTGGCCAACCAGCTCACTGCTGCAAAGAAGAGACCCAATATGTATGGTAAGTTCCAGTCAGGGTTTAGGAAAAAGCACTCTAGTGAAAGCGCTCTCCTGAGGGTTTCTAATGATATATTAATGTCTTCTGATGCAGGTGAATGCTCTGTGTTAGTACTTCTCGACCTCAGTTCTGCGCTCAACACGTGTAGACCATAACATCCTGATTAAGAGGCTACGTGAGTCGGCATATCTGGCATAGCGTTCGACTGGTTTACATCTTACCTCACTGAAGTTAAACAGTCTCTGTGGGAGACTTTGTGTCCGATACCTCTCCACCGTCTCGTGGTGTACCGCAGGGCTCGGTTCTGGAGCCTCCGTTATTTTCTTTACATTCGTTACCCGTGTGACAGATTATAAAAAGGTAGAATGTTGTGTGTCATTTATATGCGGATGATATCAAACTCTGTCTTTCCTTCAAAGCTAGTGAGGCTTCTAGGTTATCTAGGCTCCTACACTGTCTCAATGCTAGTAGGGACTGGACGGCAGAACATTGTTTACAACTCCATGCTGATTAGACGGAGGTTCTGGTTGTTGCACCAGAAGAAGTTGTCTCCACCGCCAAGCAGCGTATTGGTCCGCTTTCCTCTGCGGCCCACTTCAACCAGCGTAATCTAGGCGTTTGACCCCACTTAAGAAATAGCAGTAAACTTACAACAGCTGAACTAGGAATGCTCATACATGCCTTTATCTCTTCTGGCATTGATTGCCTGCACCGCTATAGTTTGCCAATTCTGTAAAGGAATTTACAATTCTGTAAATTCCTTTACAAATCTGATTCTGTTCAGACAGGCGTTTTGGTAAAAGTCATGCTCCAGGTCTGCATTTTATCTATGTTTTTATCATGTATTGTGCCTTTGTTAATACGTTTCCTGTTTTAAGAACTGATCTTGTAAATTAGCATCCCTGGTGTGGTCACCTTGTGTTAAATATGTTTTCTTCAATGTCTGAAATAACGCTCCTGTTAAGCACTTTGTGATTTATGTCTGTGAAAAGCACGACATAAATACATTTTACTTGACTACCTTTACTATATGTATCCGACACTTTTAATTAACCCTCTTAAGTGTTGAAAAATCTTGTGCATACAACCTCCAGTTACCAAAACGTCCGGTGAAAGAGCTAAAAAGACAATGGTCTCTGTTTGCCAAGTTAGCGAAGTCATGGTTTCAGTAAACATCTTCATAGCAACAGCATTGAGTGCATTGAATCTGCGTGTGAAATCATATCCCAAAGGCACAAATAGTGTGTCTCCTCTCATGCGTATATACAGAACACAGTGTACCCATGAGAGCTGCTCCCACAAACAGTTTTAACTTGATGAACCTGTTTGAGCCTTTTTTCAGGTATTTCTCTTTTTTACGAGCAGAGTCAGGGAATAGTTAGACTTAAGTACAGTAATAGTAAATAGTGCACCAACTCTGCTTTCTTCTCCGCAGTCCTAACGCAGCGGCAGCTTGTGCTAACTTTGTTTCGGATTATTAAACCAGTACGGCCAAACACAACTTTGAATTGAGTGTGTTGGAGCCTCAAATGAAGTTAATGAGCAAATATCTGCAGCATTCACTTGGTGAAGCATGATATGGGTACATGCTAGTCCACAATAATGACTGCTGGCTCTCCTGCAGTGCCCACAGCAACACACTCTCTATATCCCAACTGTGACTTCTAGGATCTTAGAGGTCCGGACTGTAAAGCACACCGAGCAGGACTGCTGTCGAAGCTTATTTTATAAAAAGATCATTGCTATTGGCTCCAGCGGCCCCCGATAAACACGCGCACCGTGAAGTATGGAGGGGACGCACTGCAGGGCGATGGTTTATTTTTACACGTCTTCTGCCTCGACAGGACCGCAGAGACAAGGAAGCTGCGAGGCTCCGAAGAATCCTTGTTATGTCAACTTGTTATCAACAGAGTTAGTAGAAGCTGCCAAAAGATTGGCAAGATCGTCTGTATTGAAGGCTGGACATAAATGTGTTAGGTATGTAGTTACGATATTAGCTTATCATAGACATGTCGGTATCAGCCAAGTCAGCCAATAAGTTAATCTTAAGATAAGATAGTTTGTCCACAAAGAGCACCGACTAAATGAAACTTCAAAAACATGAATATTGCCGGTGTTATATTAACATGCAGAGCAGCAACAATAGCCGTTTGCTGATATATTGCTGCTTGTTGCAGTCTATTTAACAAAAGAAAGGAAGTACTTCACATTGCTGTGCTGTCACACAGCCAGGCTGAACTCATCGAGGTTGTCGACACGCTTTGTTGCCGGTGCAGCAGCCTCAGCAGCTGAGGAGGTTAGCAGAAGGTTAGGCTTAACTATTAGCAATATTTTCTCCGATATTATAACTCGCTAGAGCCTCAAATCACAATTTATCATCTCAAATGCATGCAAAATCGATTAGGGCAACAACACGACATATTCAGTCTGTAAAATTACATTTTCAGACCATGCTGAAATAAATGGAAACCTAAATGTGAATAAAACAGCATTATAGACAACCTTGCAATGACAGCGTACAGTGAGATTGTCATTCTGACTTTATCTCCTCCGTTTGCAGAGTCTTCCTCTTCAGTACACACACAGACTCTGTTACTGGCCAAGAGTAAACAGAAACTACTGAGAGCTGCCAGGGTTTGAAGTTTACTCAAAAAAATAGGAAGTACTTCACATTGTTGTGCTAACACACAGCAAAACTGAACTCATACAAGTTGTTCCCAAGTTTAGTTGCACTGACGATCACTATTTCAAAGTGAATGACATTTTGAGTGGAGCCAGGTTGACTGAATGTCAGCATTCTTGGGAGTAGATGTGGTTTGAGTATGTGGCTCTCTAGGCCATCAGCTCGACTGCTTTCACAAAAACTATTAATGTTTTCAGGAAGATCGGGCGCAGGAATCTCCCCAGTACACAGTGGGCAGAGAGCTGAGAAAGCCCTTGCCATGCCAACAAGTGCGAGACAACAACAACACATAACACTTCAGAGTCTCCAGTCCACCGGTTTTGCATGGGAAATGTTGAGCGTGTGCAAATTCAACACCCAGCGCCGGGAGTTGAACCACTGGGCCGACGTGCTGACCGAGTCCAGATAAAGAGCACGTGGATGTCACTATAATAACCATTTGATGTGCTTAAACACTGAAGTGGAATACCAACTCGCCATTACCTGCACAATCACATCTCTGTATACATCCCTATGTTTAGGAGGAAGCCCCACTGTCACAGCTATGCATACTTTAACACACCTCTCAAATCCTGATTGGCAAAAAAGCAACAAGTTTGTACATCCTGTTATACCGGTAACAGTAACGGTAGTTATGTTATCAACGCATCACGTATGTTTTGCATCATGTCCCCTCCCAGCATGTCTGAAATGATAAGGTAGTTTATGTGTATAGTGTATAGGGATACGTTCAAGTGCAACCTGCAGGATCAGGATAACACTAGTTTAACAAATTAAAATAATTTGAATTAACTCAAATTTGCCAATATATTACACAAAATGTGGTGACATTTTTTGTTCGTGTGAAACTAATGATATTTAGCATATAGAAGACAACAGGTACAGTAATTAACTGTTCATTTAACCCAGCTACAATAGTCTCACTAATTCATCATACATTTTTTAACTTGTATGATGAAGTGCAGAGAATGCAGTCTTCAACATCAGGAAAAAAACACCTGGATACGACCATAGCCACAATGCAATACGTCACAGCAACATAAACATAATTTCCCAGTCTGAATGAATAACAGCCTGCTGCCAACATTATATATTATATATTATATATTATAGTGTTTCTGCTAGCTCAAACGCACCACGAGAGCAGTACCAGCTGATGCACCTGGTCTCCCTCGTGAGCCACAGGAGCCTTCAGCTACCTCGTCATGTGCACGCGACGGGAGTCAATTCATCACAGACATCAAAAATGTGTCTGAGGAGCTAAAAAGCAGCTAGCAGGAAATTCAAGGTGACATTAGCAAAACTGTGAGAACAAAACACACTGAATGAGACGGACGCATAACAAATGAATGCAGCATGTGTGTGTATGTGTGTGCGTGTGTGGATAACCAACCTGACATCTGCACACCATGTCCGCGTCTTGTGAAAGAAGGTCCACAACTTTTCCTTTCCCCTCGTCGCCCCACTGAGCCCCGAGCACCACGGTCACTTTGTTGCCGACGGGCGGTCTGTGCCCACGTTTCGTCGGGCTGCCGTTCGCGGCCCCGGAGGGTTCCTGGCTCCCACTTTCCGACATGTCTGCTGGGTCTCTTTGACTGACTACACTTGCGAGTCGCTATCGTGCGGCTGCTGCACCAAAGATAGCTGGAGGAGGACCGGAGGAGCTTCACTCCACGGCAACGTTAGACGCGAGGATGTAACAACACGTCGCACATGCGTACAACGTGTCTGATATTACAATTACCTTACCATTTACACAGAAACACTAACACTAACTTCATTCAAATAAATGTCTTGCTTTCCTAATTAGTGTGGAATTAAATAGTTGTCAGCAACATGTTTAATATTGTATTTCTATGGATTTATACGACGAAGGTTTCTGGAATCCGACAGGACGTGAATCATCTTTATTGTTTCGACAATCTCAGTGGACACTCCCACTACTCTGGAGGTGTGTTCACGGCCCAAAGATGTGTTTTAGTAATTCAGCGGTTATAATGTTATAATCATTTTCAAATTACCTTATTACTCTTTGTGCTTTTTTTTTTTATCTTTCAGAATTTGTGTCTTTTGTTTCCAGAACAAATACAGAAGTCTATCTTGTAACACCGGTGCATGAATTGTTCTCATGAAAACTTAAATCAATCTCCTATGGCAGTTTTGAAGCACCCGCATCAATGAATACACAACATTTTTTTCTATTTGTTTATTCATCCTTCATTCAGCCTGGAAGGTCCCTTTGAGATACAAGATCTCTTCTTACAGGGAGTCCTGGTCAGGACGGCAGCATAAAAACAATTGTATATGTTAGAATAAATAGAACAATAGCAACAATAACAACAACCTAAAGTCACATTGATCAATAAAACAAAGAAGGTAAAACAAGCCATAGATGGGAAAATAAGTGATTGTCACAGTTGTTGCACTTGGACTGGTTTACATTAGAATAAGGAACACTGCTCTATTTTCTCTTAATGGACAACAAGCAGTTGATCAACAAACTATGACAGAAGATACAACTTGAACTGTTTTAGATTGTGTTGTATCTTGAATTGTTTGGTTCCCTCTAGTGGTGATCAGAAATGCACACAAGTGTGAAACTGCTTACATTATGGAGCTTTATGTCCATATGGTGCTGCACCTAAACCCCATTGAGAGGTGACAAAAAGCATCATAAACAATGGATTTTCTGAAAGATTGTGGAAACAACGAATGTAGAATATGTTGTTAATCAAATCGTCAGGAAGTAAAAGACGTTAGTCCATTAATTGTCAGTTTTCTTCTTTTTTGCAGACTTGATGTTCTCGTTTGTGCCTGTTTTGTACCTGCTGCAGATGGACATGCACAGTGCCGGGTACAGCTCACATCACGACTGTCCTTTCATCTCCTTTGAGCGCAGCGTGGGACAGATGGTCAAGTGGGTGAACAAGAGAGAGCAGTGGGAGCAGGTCACGACTCCGCATCCTTTTAGAAAAGGCCGTTTATTAACAAACTGATGTCATTCCTACAGGTTTTCCTCAAAGATCACTAACAAATGACCTGATCCATATCAGTCCACCTAGATCTGCAAGAGGCATCAGAACTGGGTGTGTTTGTTCCCTGAACTATCAAAGGAAATGTAAGTATGGAGATGTCATGTTGGCTTCTGCATCACTGTTTTATCTCTTATAAATCCCTTTTATTGTTTCCTCACTTTGTGTGTAAGGAAGCTGGCAGCAGAGTGTGTCTCTTTTCTTATTGTTTGATTCTTAACTGGTGTTATTTGTTGTACTTTGATTCTTTCTTTGCCCATGAATTCCCAGTTTAACTTTGGCTGCCCTCCTAAAATCAAACAAACTAGTAGCCTACATATAGCTGTTAAATAAATGTAGTGTAGTAAAAAGTGTAAAAGTTACCTCTAAAAATGCACAGCGGCGGAGGAAGTACTCAGATCCTTTTTAAGTAAAAGTATCAATACCACACTGGGGAAAAAACTCCACTACAAGAGTCCTGCATTCAAAACCTTACTTTAAAAAAGTAATCTTATTATTTAATTAGTACTGTCTTTATTTATTTTGTATTTATTTATGTCCTTGTGCTGCTACAACAACAGAATGTATCCGCTGGGGATCAATGAAGGTTAATTAACTCATCTTATTGCCACCGTTAGAAGTAATTACGCTGTTGGCCTGCAGGGGGCAGCAGCTACCGAACACGCGCCAACTCTCTTCCTCTGTGGTTTGTTGTTATTGTTACTTCCGTAGCTTGTAGGCTAATAACACAGGAAACCGACTCTGTAAAACCTCCTCCCCGGTGCGATCCGCGTTCATATAAAACCGTTATCTTTAAGATGTCTGCTCCGCTGCTTCTCCGGGCTTTTGTGAACGAGCGACTGACCGCTGCTGTCGAGGAGATATTTCAGGTTTTTGAACGAACGATAACAAAATATGAAGAAGACGCTTCCAGCTCAAAACAGGAGATTGAGCGGCTCAGAGGTCTGCTGCAGGACCACAAAACAGGTCTGTTCATTAACTTATATATATATATATATATCTCAACAAGTGTGTTAAACTCGGAAATATATGCTGAAACTATTGATTTAAAAAATCATGTATTAGTTTTTTATATTAATAGATGTATGTATTTTTCTATAAATGTATAATCTGATTTTAAAAAACATTACAAGAAACCAGAACCAGACAAACAGTTTAACCGAGTTAATTTATTTAATGCAGAAAAAAAAAAAAATTACTTAACTATATTTAATGTGTAACCATTTGTCTCAATAACATTAACATGTTATCTTAAGATTTTAAATACTTTTGTCAATATTGTAATTAGAGCTGCAATGCAACTATTACTCAAATAATCGTCATTTCACATTCGCTGTTTCCAGCTCATTAAAGGTGAGTGTTTGATGCTTTTCTTTGTCATACGTGATGGTAAACTTCACATCCAGCTGTGGGAAATTATAACGGGCGATTTTCACTATTTTCTGACACTTCCTGGACAATCAAAAAATCTGGAAAATATCCGTCAATTTAAACTTAAATGAAAATATTCATCAGCTGCAGCCATAGTCTAGATTTAGTTCATATTGCCGACCTCTCTTGCAGCATAAACAACCGTTCTTGGTGATGAAACTATTAAAGAAATAAGAATCGGAGATGCAGAACTTCTAAATTCTTTACTTTTTGTCTTTTCCTAGACTTTTGTCAGTCGTTCACCTGTAAGGAGGAACCTCCCCCTGAGCAGCACCACTGTGAGCAGGAGCCGAGCCTCAGCGTCCCTCAGAGGGACCCAGAGCCTCGGCACATCAAGGAGGAAGCTCATGAACTCTGGGCCAGTCAGCTAGAAGAAGAACAAGAGTTTAAGGATGCTGATGCCTCATGCCTACCTCAGTCATCTGTCTGGGAGGACACTAAACATCAGACTCAAACCAGTGAGACTGAGGAGCAACTTCAGGAGGAAACAAAAACTGTACATTTTGTGCTACCTCTCGCCTCAACTCTGTCTTTACAAACTCTGATCCAAGATGGCAGAGAAAACGAAAGACCCGCTGCAAGTTTGATGTCGAACCAAACGCAGACGGACCGGGGTCAGAGCTCCTTTATCACATCCAGAGAATCCCTTGATTTGTCTCACTCGAATCTATCTGCACCTGACTATCGCTGCTTTTTGTGCGAAAAGTATTTTTCCTCCAGCCATCACTTGACAAACCACGCGTTCCGCATGCATTCGAAGGACGCAGGAGTCCTCTGTGCCGTGTGCGGCGCGACCCTGGAGTCCACCGAAAGCCTCAACGTGCACCTGAATTCACACAAGGGCTCCAAATGTTGCCACGTGTGCGGCAAACAGTGCAAAAGCAACACCGCTCTGACCGAACACATGGCCGGCCACGCCGGGGTGAAACTGCATCGCTGTGATGTGTGCGGGAAAGAGTGCACCCGGAAGGGAGACTTAAAGATCCACTTGAGGATTCACACGGGCGAGAAGCCTTTCTGTTGCTCCTACTGTGACAAAAGTTTCACCCACAGCGGACATCTGAGGAAGCACATGAGGAGCCACACCGGAGAGAGGCCGCACCGGTGTGACGTCTGCGGCAGAGGGTTCCTACAGAGCGCACACCTGAAATACCACTTAGGGACTCACGCTCAGAAATACTGACTTTTTTAAAATCCACTTGGACCGGAGTTTATCAAAAAGGCCTTTGCTGACTGAGCACTGAGGGACTTTCTTTTCCCTACAGCAGTGTGTAAAAGAGACGTTCTCAGGGGATCACATGATTGATCTGACTGGAATAGCCAATCAGAGGCGAAAATGATTACATACTTCATCTGCCATAATGTTATGTTTTTGTGTTAAATCCTTGATTTCCCCTTAAAATGGCTGAAATGGAAACAAAATGGGAAACCAAACTGGAGTAAGGAGAAGTAAAAGGGAAATGTTTCTTATTTTTATCTTTCACTGAAGCACAAAAATATGTTTTATAATCGTCCGTCTTCACTGTTAACATCACGTGTTCTCAGTACCAACTAACAGGAAGAGTCACTATTTCCAGTAACAACACTGTTATCAACATCAAGAGAACAAACGGTGTCTTTGTCATTAATATCTATTTCATGTAACAGCGTTTGAATGATGTTGAATCTGTGTGATTTGTTGGTACTCGCTGAACACAGCTGAACCACTTTTAGTTAGTTAAGAGCCGAGCGTAGCAGGATGCACGTATTTATTTAATTCTATATTTATTAAGCAACATTTTATGGAGCCGCCGTGCTGTTCCCTTCAGCAGCAGCTTCTCTCATACATATTAAACAACTCTTTCACAGCTTGGTGTTGACGGACTCAGATTCTATTCTATTCTTTTTCTATTCACGGTGAAGCTTAATTTAACAGTATATTGCTAATATAATAATAATTTCCTAGGGAGTTTCTTGTAAACAACGACGCATGAAAGGGAAACACTCACTGATTGTTACTGCAATATGAAAAACAAAAATATTTATTAGCTTCAATATCCACCAGAGTTTACTGTGACAATTGTGCTTTATTATTTATTCTATTTTAGCTGACGTTTTTGTTTGCAAGTCACCCTGTTGAAGCCGTTATTCACGCTGCAGATGAGGCCACCTGTTTCCCTGACTGTGACTCTGAAAGTTATGAAATCTGGCTTCATTCACATCTGTGTTTAGAGCTGTTCGGATCACCCACAATGCATTGTAGCGCTGATATAAGCCGACAAGAATCTTTGCGGTGGTTACGCAACATGAACTTCTGGGCTGAAACAACGTCTCGAATGTGATTGTTTACAGTCATTGAGGACGATGGAGCGTATCCCTCCAGTAGAGGATCATCTGGAAACAATGCAAACGTCTTTTATCACATATTTTGATGAAATTCGACAAATGTATGCCTTCCACATTTACAACATGTTAAAGAGATTAAAATGCAAAAACCAACTGTACTGAACCTTTAAAGTAAAGAGTGAGAACAAACCTGAGGCTGGTTGATTTACATCTGGCAGAAGTTGTGAGTTTAAATAAGAACAATTAATGGAGTTAATGAGTCTTTTTGGCTGCTCAACCATGAGATGTGTAACATTTTCTAAAAGTCCAGGTAAAACTTTACTTAAACAACGCTATTCAGCATTTATAAGCACTATAAATATTTAATAAACTGTAAGACTTGATGTAGTTAAGGGCAGCTAAAAGAATTTTTTTTTTATTAGTATTTGTCACCAGTAATAACTTCTCCAATGAAGACACATTTTATATTATTACAACTGTGTTTTACTGTGTTAGCATTCATTACCTGTCTGTACACCAGCCTCTACTGATGAATGCTCACAGGAGGAGTTGTAGTTGTTGACAAATATGTTTGTTTGTGTTCTGAGAGGAATATAGTTCACCAGTAGGTGGTGCTGCAGGAGCCTTTATTTATCCATCCATGAGCAAGTCAGTGAAGGATCACCAGAGTGACACCGTTTATAGCTGTTTTTCTTACTTAAAAACTTTAAAAAAAGATAAAAAATACCATGTTTTTTGCCTTTTTGGGTGTGTTTTTTAAATGATTTTATCACAGAACTCGACTGTTTAAAAAAAAGTATTTGTAAATTATTAACATTATGACTTTTGACACATTTTACACAATCTGAGCACCAAATCAGTTGCTGACACACTTTTTGGCCAAAGCTCTTAATTCCTCACGGAGCAGGTTCAACAATTTTATTTATAAACTGCTAATTACTTTTCACTTTCCTCAAAAAGCAGAAATCACTCAGTCACCAGGTTTTAAGCCATTCATCCATGATGTTTTGGTCTCAATGACCATGAAGGTCTGAAAAGCCCAGGTGACCTCAAAATCTCTCACCATGCAGGAGCTCATTCAGGAATCTGTGAGTTTGGGAAGCTGCTTCAGGTGATTCAGATTTTAGATCGTAAAGCTAAAGAGCTAATCAGGCCTCAGTGACCCTGAAACCTAAAACCAACTACCTTAATCTGGTTATGCAACTCCCCCTAAAGACACAGGATCACCAGCAAACACCCCGGGTCCTTGGGAACAGTTTCCCCACATGTTGGCTCATGTTTGGGCTTAATGGGGATTCAATCACTCAAATGTAATCAGTAGATTTGTGTTCAACACCCTCAGCTGGATAAATCACTGTCACATTATAGACCAATAGCTGTATATTGTATACTCTTAAGTATGTACTCTCTGAGCCAGACTAGGCTAATTGAGAAAATACTTATCTGAAAAAAAAGAGGGCATGAGGTTAATCTTTTGTGAAGTTAAATTATATGAAACTTACTCAAGGGAACTGGAGGGATTTTCCTTTATGTGGGTCAGGCTGTGTCTCGTAGATTAACACTGGAGAAGAAGAGTTATGTTGGTATTGTGTGTGTGTGTGTGTGTGTGTGTGTGTGTGTGTGTGCGTGTGCGTGGGTGGGTGTGGGTGTGGGTGTATAGACTGCAGAGTGTGTGAAAAGTGACATTTTGCACCCACAAGCTGTTCCAAAGAATTTCACGAGCACTCAGCAGTTATCAGGAATTCCTCTGGCCCTGGGTTGCATAACTGGGTCATTGAGGGAAGTCTCTGCCAGTAAGCCCAAAGTATTCTAAGGGGGGAAGCCAAATGGTCCACCCTGGCGAGGACGGAGGGGATTCCAGGGGAGTTTCATGAGCAAAGGAAATTGATGGAGGAGGAGATCTGACAGGATCATCCTCACGGGATTGGTTTGATGTGGAGGAGGACAGCCAACATCTGGTGGACATCCTCTGGACACTGAAACATTCACACACAGACACACCAACAAGCATTATTAGGCAATGGAAAAAAAGGGTGTTGGTCAAGCTGAGCATTGCTGTAGTTATCTTTATTATTTTTGCATGGTTGTATGATGTGGGAGTTATTGGGAGGAGAAGCAGTCAGAGAGAGTGAAGGAACACAAACAGTGATTGCATTCTTCAAGCTTATTGAAAAGATACTCCTGTTATTTAGGATCTGTATACAGGCCAGAAAGTGTGTGTCACAAAGATTGTTTTTATAGGAGATGAGATCGTCGCTGTACCAAGTGCGCCCTAGCACAGGTAAGAAGATGAGAGTATACAGACAAGAAGAAGTTTTCACCCAGCAACATTTTTAACGACACACACAATACCAATCAGAGAGCTCGTGTTTGATAGTCGACCAATCAGACACTCCATCCCATCAGGAGGAGCGTAGCACGAAAGAGCTGTAAAGATGATGACGGGACAGATGTAAAATGTTATCTGTTATTACATGTTAGTGGTAACTTCTTAAAGTTAAAGAAGACCACAACGACAGAATATCCGTTTTTATTTTGCAGCCCATCTGATCACATGCAGTAGATGTTTTAGATCCGCGGTGCAAATACAAAGACTGTTTGTTTTGTGGAAAACCTTGAGGAGGGCCAGATGTTACATTTGCCTTGTTGTTTACATTCTATTGCTAATCCCTGTTTATATGAATCGCATGCTGGACCTTTCATGCATGGAGGAGCTCTGCTATTAAAAGCACTGAGAATGACTGACGATGCTGTTGTTGCTGCGGGAAGATTTCCAACACAGTTGTTTCCTCACACTCCTGTCCTTTCCAGATCTGCTGACTGATCGCTCTCTTTTCATCTGTTACTTTATTCATACTGTGTGGTTCACCAAACGATTTTAGCCAGGCACGTCAATGAAAATGCAAGCTTAGGAGACATGGCATCACTCTAGGTCTACGTTCACGATTACATAATTCATCAACATAATGTGGAAAAGTGTATCTGCCAAGTGGCAAACGGCTTACACAGAAAGTATCAGCAAAATGTTCGCTGACACCATTTGTTTTTTTTACAGTATCTGCTCATAGCAATGAAGTAAAGCATGATAACATGGTTACGTTTGGCACTTGGTTAAGGTTGGGGAAAGATCATGGTAAAATGTCAAGTTAGTGACTTGAATCATCAATCAAGTGAGAAGTAGAGTCATTTTCTCAAAGACTTCTATACAATCAGACTTCTTTTTGCAACCAGAGGAGTCGCCCCCTGCTGGCCATTAGAAGGAATGCAGGTTTAAAGCACTTCCACTTCACTTTTCAAAACAGGAGGTTGCCCCTGATTGGTATGGATGGATGGTGGCCCGGGGTCCCCTTTGCTGCTTCAGGACCCTTATTGCTACGCCCCTGTTTTGTTACATCTCCTGCTATTGGGCTGTATGTCCAGCGGTGACAGTGGTGCAACAGAGCCAGAGAGAAGTTAGTTGTATAAAAAAGGGACCCAGTACCTGCCTCAGGGCTCTAATGCATATTGTAAATGGATTATATTCTGGTGGTGTATAGGTACAAAGTAACCAGCTGGCCTGCTATTTGTTGGAATCTGGACCAGTCAGAGAGACTCCCCTCCCCCGTGCCAGCTGCATAACTGCGGAGCTTTGAGTTGAGTTTTGCTGCTGAATGAGAGGCGACAATAACAAGACCAACGAACGCATGAGCGTTAGTGTGCACGAAGCGACGTGCTGCTCAAGTGTGAGGGGATCGCAGGCCGCTTGTATGAGGGTAAGTGGGCTTCTAATGCGTCCGCCATAGAAAGTAAAGGACGGGTGTTCAGACTGCTGACACAGAATGCCAACAATACTGAGCCCGGGGGGCCGAGGGGGGAGAGCATAAGGGATGTCCACAAAGTGCACGTTGCTATTCTCTGCTAGGCTAATGCAGATGTTTGGTTTCCAGCTGATTCTGTACAGCTGGTGGAGCTCCAGCTGAAACGGTGACAAGGTCAAATGGTCACCAAATCGCAGAGCTTACTGCATCACCAACAGCTGATGTGAGACCAAGGACATTCCGCTGATAGCTGTGTTTGATATGTGATATCAGAGAGACCATATGCATGTATGCTGCTGCTTTACAGGTCTATTTTAAGACCGGGAATATATATCTCTCTCTCTGTCAATAATCAAACGTGCATGTTGTGAGAGCTGCAGAGGAAGTTGAAAGCTGACCTCGCTTTGGACTCAAAGTTGTTGTGGGCCAGAGGTGGAGACTTGTACACAGTCTGAGTTTGAGGCATCACAGCAGGTGACAGTGTGAGAATGTAAATGGTGTACACACACACACTTCACAGTGGGGGCCAGCATGAAAGAGCTCCGAGAATAGACCCTGTTGAGTTTAAAACACTACCGTACCATGTAAACACTCGGTACTATGTTGTACTATGTTTTCAGTGCACACACACACCACACATTTCAAACCCCTCTCCTCAGTGTGCTCGATACAATGTTGGCGGAGAGTGTGTTTGATAACTTTTGAAGCAGCTTGCTTATCAGCGGTCCTGGGGCTTTGAGAGAGCTGCTATTCTCACAGTGATAAGCATTTCTGTTTCAGTTTTCACCTGCAGTGAGCAGATGCTCAAGAAGCTGGTGCTGGTGATGAAACATCATTAGAAAAGGAATAGATGGCAATTTTGATTACTGGTTAATTGTTTTAAGTGATTTATCAAATAAAAATGGCAATCATGTGTAGGTTTAAGCTTCTCCAGTCTAAACTAAACATAAACTGAATATATTATGATTTAAACTTCCGTTTGGACATAATAAGCAACGGCAAGACAAGCCTGGGCTTCAGAAACTTCCGATGATTATTTGTCCAAGTTTTCTGAAATTTTATAGACCAAACAACTAAAGTAAGGCTTCAGCAAGTTAGTTTGCACATCCATAAAGTGGGGGGGGGAGCTCGTAAGAGACAAATGTTGACTTGTAGTCTTCTATATAAAGCCTACATTTCCTAAAAATACAACAGCATTCATTTTTTTCCCTGGTAAACGTCCACATCTTTTAATCTCCAAACCTCCAGTTTGCATTTAGGCTTTCTGTTATACATTTAAAGTTGCACGCCCAAACCCTGCATAACCCTGATGACATCACTATGACATCATGGAGGGTTATTTTCTAGGACTTGACGAAGCTCAAACGTGCAGAGTCCTACTCCCTTTAACTGACCGTCAATCAATTATTCAGAGAAATTAAACAGATAGATTAATTGATAATGAAAAAGAATCCCTTGTGACATCCCTGATATTCATTTCTGTCGTAGTCTTGTCAAGTAGCAGAAGAAGAAGTCTTATAGTTTAGGTCACAGGCTGGAAGTGGGACACCAGCCTTCAGCCAATCAGCCTTCTGCTCCACCTCAACATGAGTTACTGTCTCTTTGCAGCAGCTCTCTCAATCACCTATCCACCGACCACAACCTTGTGTCCCCAGACAACTAGACGACTATAATTAGAGCGCTCCGTCTGAAGACCGGGGAAACAGCACATAAAATAAGCATGTAGCACGGTAATATGACGCAGTGGAGCGAAACCGGGCTACTCATCAAAAGCCCCATTGTGTTTACAACCAGACGCCCTCTGATACACAAGGTCATGAACACTGAACAATCAGGGAGATTACTGAGTGCAAAGCAGGAGCTGGGAAGTATACAAGAGCCGACCATCAATTAATCTGTTGATTTATTTCAGTGAC